AGTGTTTGACTTCAACAAGTCCAACTATTATATCACTAGTACAATACTCCCGGTTCTGACTTAACCCAGATTTAAGGACCCCATCGTAACCCTTACCCCAATCTCACACTTGCCGGGTCTTGACAAAAATACTTACCACAAGGCACAAGCGCAATCTGAGTTTGATTCTTTGCTAATGTTACAGCGTCCGCAGAAGTTTAAAAAAAGTATGTGCAGCTATAGTTGTCATTTTAAAATTGTAATATATTACTTTGCCGAACTTTATTTCAACGGACATTAATTGGACGCTCGCGCTGTAGGCCCTTTTATTTTAATGTCCGTTCAAATAAAATGTGTACAAGTCAAACTTTTTTGAAAGTTTTCCCAAAAGTGTTCCACTACGAACTTATTGCTTTATTGTCCAGACCATGACTTAGAAAATAATGAGCTAAAAAATATAAAAATGTGAATAATACAGAATGCCCTGAATTATCCCCTGGTCCTAAAATAAGAATCCTTACTATTTGTAAATTAAAGTTATTGCTACTTTGTTAAACCAATGCTTGTTGTTATTAATCACCTGGTTGTGGTCTGTAGTAATCAGATGCTGTGTTTTCGACGGACTGGAACTTTATCTTTGTCACGTCTCTGTTCCAGAACGTGCTCCAATAACTGTTACCACACGTTGCTTGAGAGAGCAGTATGTTGAGCACCTCTACCTCGTTACAGTGTATCACTACTCTGACACCTGCAGTTCTGGTTAGAGTGATGCGCCACACCTTGTCAGCAGTAGAGGGGAGATTAACAGGGAAGTTTGACCAAGTTAAGCCGCAATATTGGAGATAGTATTGTGGAGTAGAGGTGAAGTAGAGCCGGACTCTTCCTGCATCCAATCCCTCAGCAGAGAAGAAGTCCATACCCACTTGATCGTCACTCCCCAGCACACTATTAGTTTGAATTTCTATAGGTGTCGACTCAAGATCCCATTCTATTTTCACCTCAAGTTTCATTGGTAACCAACCTGTTAATTGTATGTTTAACTCATAACTACCGAGCAACGATTAATGAATATCATCAATTTATTATTTAAAGAAGAGGTGTTCTAGCAAAATTGTGAAGGAATTGTAAGATTGTCGCCCATAGTTAAAGTTCTCAGAATTTAAGGGTCCGACCATACTATGACTGTTTTCACCACAACCGTTTTCATAGTGCAGTCAGATGTAATGCCAACAGGCACGACATGGTCATGACCAGAGGCACGTAGTGTGATTAGAGGATACGTGACAACTCCTCAGGCACGTCTTTTCAAAAGCCGTGCCTTGCTAAAAATCCGTGCCTGACGTGACTGCAGGCACAGTCTGCTCAGTACTCGTGCCAACTGTCATAAGATAACAATTCTTATAATTATTAACTTAATTTTTGGCGGCTATGACTTTAATAAAGGCCCTAAGGTTTACTTTTTTTACAAGATGGTTTGTACAGTGGGGAGATGCATATTATCTTATATTGGTTCTTTTTGTCATGCGCGCATTTTACCACTTACAACTGAGAAAAATGTCACTTTTTACTACATCCAATTTAGCATAGTAAACTTATCATGTTTCTTCTTGTGGATTGACAATTTCATGACCTTCTCAGTCTGTGCTAAAGCAATATGGTGCACTTTTTTCCAGTCACACTTTTTCACTCAATAGAATTAATTCCATAATGGTACAAGTACATGGTAGGGAAAATTGATCGTGCATGGTTTAAACCGCGGCGAAATTCTTGTTAAAATACTGTAGAGTGAACCAAGGGGCAATAATTTGCAAAACCACGCTTATCCAATTTATTATAAGTTCGCACTTTATAGAACTTATACTTAACTTACCATTTTTGTCATCAGCAGAAGCCCCCCCAATGAACATAGTCATGATCAAGATGGTCAAGATGTCCTTGGTGCTGACCACTGTGAACTTTTTGGGAACCCAATTGTTCACCTTCATCATGTAAACGAATGAAAGAAGACTTTCACACGCCTTCTTCGGTTGAGCTATAGAATTGGACGCAAAAGCAAAGGGTTGAACTAAGTTGTGGAGCTTGCTCTCAGAAACACGGCTAATGGTACAGCAAATCGTTCGCATTAGTCCTGGATACGTACTAGCAGTCCACCAATCATGAGCCTTCCCTTGTTGTCTCTGAGAGCCCTGGTGGTGGAATGCTCTCTTTAAAGTTGCTACGATGGGCTAATGTTCGAGTGCCTATTACACAGACGGTTGGTTCCTTAAATGCTAATGCTATTCAAAGAGGCCGCTAGTAGCCAGATCATAGTTTTACTTTAAGCATCTATTTCTAGAAAACAACGTACCCAAGAGCTCTCAGCCTAGGACAATATTGTCGGAACGGCGTCAAACTCTCTCTCTCCACTGAATTAAAGATCGATGTTTAAGAAAGAATTATAAGCCGTCTGGTCATATAGTATAGTGTGGAGCTGCTGCATTGAACGTTTAGACAAATAGTTGATCCAAGATGACGTGGTGATCGTATAAGAGAGCTTGCCCTCATGGCTAATAATGTAATAATATTGGCTAATGCTACAGCAGATGCTGATCGGATATTTACTAACTATTGCCCTGAGTCTTGTCTTCCTAACTATAGCTATGAGAGCCCTGCCCCCTGGTTTGTGGGATGACTCTAATATTTTAAGGTACGATATGGGCTAATGGTAGACTAACTCTGCAAGGAAGAGATGTAAGAAAATGGCAAGTGTTGCGTCCCTTAAGCTGTGATGTTACTCAGTAAGGTCACCAGTAACAAGATACTAGTTTTAAGCTTATATTTTAAGTAAATGTTAACAGCAAAATATGCACCCACACACTATCAGGTCAGACGTTTCTAAGCATACAGACTTTGAGCAGAGAAGCCATAGCAAGGAATACAAGGAATACAAATTTAAAATCTTAAGTTACAACAGTAACTGTTAAGATAATAACAATATCATAAGATTTAGATTTAATTATTAATATTATTTACTAAAAAGAAAAAGTAAGATTTTGAAAATGAATATTTTGTTTACAGTCCCCTTGTTAATGCTTGAGCCAGGCCTTTGCGCGAAAATACGCCAAGTAACTAAATTACTGTTACAGTGTTAGTGAAAGCAAATACAAAATGAATTGGTACGAGATAGCGCTGGTACAGTAATGTTCATGTACTGGCCAGAGAGTGAACGAATTTCTTGCGGTTGTTAAAACACGTAGTAGTAAATCTAGCAACGACTCTCATGAGGTGGACTCGACTTTCGTTCGTGATTAATTCAATGATTTCGCTGTAGTTGCTGATGAGTTTGAGGACGTTTGCTCCAGGGATGACAGTGTGAAGAGGATAAGATGTCGCAGATGGTTTGTTTGGATTTGATATGATTGACTGGATCTTGTCTAGGACTTTTCGCCTCGATGTAGCGTTACGATCACAATGGATAAAGAAGTGATGTTATGTTTTGTGTCCGTTTTGTCCGTTTTGTCCGTTCGGTACCCTATATTAACAAAACGGACAAAAAGTAGGGCGGACAAAAACGGACCAAGAACGTTAAGGAAATAACATTTAGATGCTTCCTTCTCCTCCTCCTCCTCCTCCTCCTCAGTCATCAGTCCTCCTCTTCCTCAGTCCTCCTCCTCATCAGTCCTCCTCCTCCTCAGTCATTCACCTCCTCAGTCCTTCTCCTCCTCAGTCCTCCTCCTCCCCAGTCCTCCTCCTCCTCTTCATCCTCCTCCTCTTCCTCCTCCTCCTCCTCAGTCCACCTCCTCTTCATCATCCTCCTCCTCCTCCTCCCCAGTCCTCATTTTCCTCCTCAGTCATCCTCTTTAAGTCTTTAGTCATCCTCCTCAGTCCTCGTATGTAAGATACCTTCTCAGTCCTCCTCCTCCTCTTCCTCAGTCTTCCTCTTCCTCCTCCTCCTCCTCAGTCCTCCTCTTTCTCCTCCTTCTTCTCCTCCTCCCCAGTCCTCCTCAGTCCTCACTCCTCCTCCTCCTCCTCCTCCGCCTCCTCCTCATCCTCCTCCTTATCCTGAGTCATCTTCTTCAGTCATCCTTCTCCTTCTCCTCCTCAGTCCTTGTATGTACGGTACCTTCTCAGTCCACCTCCTCTTCCTCAGTCTTCCTCCTCCTCAGTCCTCCTCCTCCTCCCCAGTCCTCCTCAGTCCTCCTCCTCCTCCTCCTCCGCCTCCTCCTCATCCTCCTCCTTATCCTGAGTCATCTTCTTCAGTCCTTGTATGTACGGTACCTTCTCAGTCCTCCTCCTCCTTCTCCTCCTCCTCCTCTTCCTCAGTCCTCCTCCTCAGTCCTCCTCCTCCTCATCCTCCTCCTCATCCTCCTCCTCCTCCTTCTCCACCTCCTCTTCATCCTCCTCCTCCTCCTCCTCAGTCCTCCTCATCAGTCCTCCTCTTCCTCCTCCTCCTCTCTTCCTCCTCCTCCTCAGTCCTCCTCCTCCTCCTTCTCCTCCTCCTCCTCCCCAGTCCTCCTCAGTCCTCCTCCTCCTCCTTCTCCACCTCCTCTTCATCCTCCTCCTCCTCCTCCTCAGTCCTCCTCATCAGTCCTCCTCTTCCTCCTCCTCCTCTCTTCCTCCTCCTCCTCAGTCCTCCTTCTCCTTCTCCTCCTCATCCTCCTCCTCCTCCTCCTCCTCATCCTCCTCCTCCTCAGTCCTCCTTCTCCTCTGTAGACTATTCTTTGTACCTAATTGATGATTGAAAGTTTGAGAAAGGACCATGGTCATTAATCGTGCTACTCATTTCTGCAGATAGTCTGCTACAAATTGTGGACTCGACAATTTAAATCAAAAGTTACAATTTTTCCCTGTTTTTGTCCGTTTTTGTCCATTCGGTACCCTATTTTCTGAAAACGGACAAAATCGAACGGACAAAACGGACAAAAACAACATGAGCCCCCCCCCCCTCCTTCATTACACAATAAGATGCTAAAGATTGCCTGCTTAACATAGTTTGTTGTTCCATACAAAAAAGCAGTGCGACAACAAGTAATTATTTTCAGGTGATAAATCATGATACCAGGAGATTCAGATTTGCCCTCCCATCAGAAGAACATATTTTGGGTCTACCTATTGGTAAGAAATCATCTTTAACTATGTTACTGTTCGTCTCCTCTCGTATAAATTTATATAATCGTCACACCTTAAATTATCTTAACTGTATATAACAGAAAGTTTTTTATAAAATAACGTAATGCTGTAATCTTTCCAAAAAAGAATTGTCCCAGCTCTGTACTTAAAAAAGCGCATTATAAATTATCTGAAAGTCAAACAATGTTTCTCCAATAACAGGTAATCATTTGAGTCTTATAGCCACTATTAACGAGGAGTTAGTAGTCCGTTCTTATACCCCTGTTTCAAGTGATGACGATATTGGATACATGGACCTTGTCATTAAGGTAAGTTGATTGGTTCTTACTAATATGACTCCGCAAGCATTCTTGATAAAGGACTGTTTTTTCTGCAATTTGTTTCGGTATAAATCTCTGCAGGATGTAAATCTGTAGGTTTGTGTTTGAGTTGATGTAAACAATAGGATTTACAGCGTTGTTCGTCATCAAGAAGGCTTTTGGCCAAAACAGCAAACTCCTGAAATACGTTGAATACATTAGATATTGTTCCATAGTTTAGACTTTAGTTATAACTTCGTTTTTGTACTTCCATTAATTGAAACATTGCAAAGGATGCCATTTGAGTACTGTAATGATTTTTCTTTATCAAAAACGAAAAAACATTGCTTACTTTGGGATTATCCTCTCCGTTCTGAAGAAGAAAGCAACAGTGAAGACTACAAAGAATGAAGCCCAAGTAACAGCATAAGCTAGAACTACCAGTAGTACCACTCTCACAGACTTTCCTAGTGACTTCTGAAAATACAATGTGATTGAATTGCAATTCAATAAGATTTAAAAGCACCGAATTTTCATTTTTATTGAGTGAAATTTTTGTATTTATATGAAATTCCCATATTTTACCTTTTTCTGAGAGGGTTTCTTTCCATTTTTTCCGTTTCTCGCCAACCTGACTTTCCTGACTTTCCAAATGATGTAATAACTTAAGCAGACTATAGTCAGCAGAGGGGTTACACAGCAAAACACCGTGGCCCAGGTTACAAATATTAACTTAGGCCCCTCATCGTTCCTGTCCGGATAAAAGTCAAAAGTGCAGGTCATTCTTTTAGGACAGTAGATGTAGGTAGCTAAATTGTAAAATGGGGCTGAAGGAATAATTAGTCCTGCTAAACATATCACAATACACCCTATGTGAATCCATCTGTTTGACGATGAGAGAGACCGGAATGGGTTCCTCAGAATGTCCACTTTTACTCCCACCATCATCAGAACCAGGAAGGAGGAAGTAGTGGGGAAATATATCTCCCAAATTCCAAGAATCTTGCAGTAGAATGGGGATGCTGTGTACCTTGGGTTTATAACATTTAACTACAGTAATTTTCACTTGAAAATATTTCTTAAAATGAAGTCAATTAAAATTACTAAAGATCTAGTGATAAAATTCCACTCAAAACATTTGCACGTGTCAGCTAACATCACAATATTGCTCTTTTGCTCGTACAAAAGAGCAAAAGATGTGAAATGCAATAATAGTTCTAATTCTAATCCTAGTTGAGGTTGAAGATCTAACAAACTGAACTAATCCGTGTAATGATATAATGTGTTTTGCCGTTGAGAAGAATAACTAACCGTTTTACCCAAGTAAAGTATATAAAATTAGGATAGAGAATTGCTGAGGAGAAGAAGTCCACTAGGGCCAGGTACTTTATGATGAGAAGTGTTTTTTGATCAACTGATTGCTTTTTTATCTTTTCTGTTGCGTACAAAATGAATAAATTTCCTGGGAGATTTAAAATCAGTTAGTATTAAAGATTTGGTATAAAATAATAAATTTGCAAAGCTAGAAAATAACCGATATAATTTTCTAACATTATTTCTTACCCAGAATTCCAAGGACAGAGATGGAAAAGTAGTAGGATATTCCAAGTATTTGCTCCCAGAGAGGCCATGGAACATAGTCTTTTAGGCTGGTTCTGTTGATATTACCAAACTCATTGAAACCCCAGTGGATGTTTTCCTCCGAGAAATTCATTCTTTATTCAGCTTCTAAGTTGTAATATATTTTCATATTTTCAATTTGTAAATCAGTTTAAAGGCAATATTACGATAAAACTGAACATAATTATTCGGTGATAATCTGACTAGAATGGATTTGTTAATTATATATTGCTCTTGCTTGGAAATATCACTCTTGCTTGGAAATCCTCTGTTATTTATTTTCTTGCTTTGCAAGCCCTGTCTCTCGTATAAACAATATAAAATTCGCTCCTACTCCCTTTCTAACTCTTTCTTTTAGTAGTAGAGCTACTATTTTATTATTATTATCAAACTTTACACAAATCCAAAGTAGTTACTAAGAACATCCTAAAGACCTGATAAGTCTACTTAAAATACTTGCAGAACTGAAAACTTACTATAAATGCAAAAAATGGAACTTAAAACTGAAATTATCAAAATCAAAAATTATGCAAAAAATTGAACTTAAAACTGAAATTATCGAACTAAACAAATTCAAAATAAATTTCTCCACAATTGGCGGTTCGAGGCTAAATACCTTAAGTCTGTCAAGTCGTCACTATTATTCAAATAATTATTTCTTTTATTCAAATCGTCTAAAATAGTTTAAAAAATATTACATTGATGTCTACCAATCCTACCCCTCATATTTGACATACTATCAACAGCACTATCACTGTAGCAGCTGGGCTGCTCCTGAAACCGTAATGGCATCTGTCGACGTTCTTCAAAGGAAGCATCTGAGACAGATAATCAACACCTATTGGCCTACGGTTATCAGTAACGAGAATTTATATAAGAGATGTAATGTCAGACCCCTTACTGAAAGGATCAAGAAAGCAAGATGGAAGATGCTTGGGCACGTTCTCAGAAGCGGTGATGACACTCCCGCCTTCTTATCTTTCAGATTTGCATGTTTAGGATGTTTTGACTACAAAGGAAGGAGGGGCAGACCTCGTTCAAATTTATTTGATTTATTATTAAAAGACATTATGACAAAACAAATTATTGTGATTGTAAATAAAAGATTTAGTTTAAGTAGCAAGTGAGCAAGAGGCTTCTGTTGTATGAGGCTCTGGTAGTATCCGTTTTAATGTACAATTCATCTTGCTGGGCTGCCCCTAAATCAGTATTGGAAAAACTAGATATTGCTCACAGACGTCATCTGCGATCAATTTTGAATTCCAAATACCCTCACATCATCTCCAACAAGCATAGATGCGGAGTTCGTTGATTTTTGGCGTAGAGTTCGTGGAGTTCGTTCAAAATTTGGAGTTCGTTAGAGTTCGTTGGAGTTCGTTAGTCAATTTTTCAAAAAAAAACATGGAAAATGTTTTTTAAAAAAAGTAATCAGCTCAGGATTTCACGTACCAAACTATGCATACAGATAACTATAAACTGTACATTATTATATCAACTTTACTGTAGTACTGTACACTGTCTACTTTACTGCTGAAAGTTGTACCTACAATGACATTTGAATCATCAACTATACCTATAAGTCTATACACAGTGCACTTCAATTTCAAATAGTTCAGTCTGCTGTACATGGCAAAATAAAATGTATACATCATACATGAACACTGAATGTACAATGTACATTCGGTGTGATCACAGCTGTTTACAGCAGAAGAAAACGAAACGCAACGCCAGAAGTACAAGTTGAAGTTTTCTGCAACGTGTCCAGGGAACGTGCGCGCGCAAACTATTGGCGCCAGAATGTTCCAGTCGATCGACCAGTCCTTGTACTGTGAAATGTACAGTGTACACGCGATGCGTGGTAGAAGTTTCGAGTACCAATATATTTAGTTGTTTTACAATCGTATGTTATGTGTTGAATTGGCTGAATTGTAAATACAATTTCTGTTTAATTTCATTTTACGTAAGTTGTACAAAACGAACTCCTCAAGAGTTCGTAATTTTGGGTTGATGAGTTCGTAGAGTTCGTTGTCACTGAGGAGTTCGTAGAGTTCGTACGTATCATCTATGCCAACAAGAACTTGTATAAACGCTGCAATAGCGAACCATTGTCAGCTAAAGTGGCTCGTAGTCGGTGGAGGATGCTCGGACATGTACTGCGTGGGCCTACAGATGGCCCTGCCTATTCGTCGCTTGTTTTTGCTGTCAACACCTTACAGCTTCAAGGGCGGCGTGGAAGACCGCAGTCAAACCTTTTCTCACTGATTCTACACGACCTTAGTGTCCGAAAATTATCGTTAAATAATTTATGTGATTTGAACTATTTAACGTTAATTGCTCAGAATAGAGTTAAATGGAGAAGTATGCAAATTGCATGACTTTTGTTTGAGAAAGATTAGGGGACAGAAATGTTTACTATGTTTACTATCTGTTTCTTAGAGCTTTTGTTTATATATATTATATAGTTTAAGTAATTTCAACGATTTAGTGTACAAAGCTCATGATAGACGTCTTTGGAGAAGTTATGGGTGAGTCGAGACTACTCGGCCACTCGATTTTATGATTTAATTTCTATCATCTTGTGTTTGCTGTAATTAGTTGATTAATAATCAACAGCAAAATTTAGAGCTAGTTGTGGTGGTGAGTTGCAGTCGCTACGAAGAATGTGCCCAAACATTTTCCAGCGGGATTTATGAACTCTCTCTTACATTGCAACGAGCATACAAGTCCTTGTTGCTGATGATGCGGGGATAGGTCATGTTGATGATACGTCTTAGATGTTTGCGTTGCCATACATCAACTTTATTGATAATGTTCTGTGGAGCTGCCCAGCTGTTACAGTTGTACAATAAAACAGGGGTAACATATGCTTCGTACAGCTTGATTTTTACAGGAAGAGAAATGCGGGGTTTCTCTGCCCATACCTTGCTGTATTTCTCAAAGGCAACGTAAGCAAGGATGCATCGGCGAGAGATATCAGCCTTACTGCAGAGCTTGGATCCAAGAGAAATAGTGTTGCGCCAGGGCTCTCTGTTCTTCACGGGTTCACCCTTGGCGTCTACCTCGTCCTTATCTGCAATGTAGAAGTGGACATGTTCTGTTTTGTCCTCGTTCACAAACAGGTTCCATTCTTCAAGGATCTCCTTACAAATATGGGCAGCATTTCTTTAAGAGTTTCCTCATCCTCGTCTGAAAAATCGCCATCGTCGGCGTATTCCCATTCAATAGGCATAGGGTCAATTCAATAGGGTCTCGGGGTTGAACGGTGGGTTAGGCCGAATGGTCATCACTACTGCACGGAAGTGTATTTTATTATACTACTAGAAAACCCGTGGTCACAGGGAGGGAAGTTGCAGTTTCATTGCATCAAAAATATCCATCACAACCGAAGG